TAAATATTAAAGACATTAAGTCAAAAAATAGAAAAGAAAGCCAAAAAGTAGCTGAAGAAAATGCTAAAGATATCTAAAAGGTTCCCTGTAAATACACGTTAACACAAAACAGTTCAGAAATAGCCGTGTTAGCGCCACAGTTAGTAAAGAATTCCAAGTACAAATAAGCAAACATGTTCACATTTAGCCTTGTAATACAGTAATTGAAAATTAGATTAGCAATGGCTAATGGTACTTACAAAATATAAGATTTAGATTAGCCTGTGGTGAGCCAAGAATTTGACTCAAGTAGTCTTAAAAAAACCAAGAACAGCTAAAGCCCAGAAGTAATAAACAGTTAGCCCATAAATAGCTACAAGATAGCATATGTAGCAAAAAAGAAAAGAAAACAGTGGCTCTTTGGTCCAGAGGTGGTGTCTCTGTCATTGGTGTGGAACCCCAGGATTCACCTCCTGGGTGAAGATCAAATCTTGGTTAGGGCGGTTGGTACCTTCCAGTGGACTGACCACCTGGAGGAAGGTTCAGGGGGGGCTGGTACGGTGCAGTGTGATTTGGGTGGTGGTCATGGAGACTGCTGCCCCCGCGACCTGGTAACGGATAAGTGGATGAAAATGGATGGATGGATGGAAGAAAAAAAACAATCGTAAGGAAAAAACCTTAGCTTAAAAAGCTTAATTTTTTCCTGAGACAAATGACCCCGCTGTTGCAACACATCAGTTGCCCCTGTGTATTCTACCAATAGTCAAAAGCTGACAGTAATATTATAAAATAGGTCTAAAGAGGATCTTCTGCTCCCATTACACTGAGAGAAAGAGCTCATAAAAAGTTACAGAGTGGAGTTGCTAGGCGATCGAAAGTTGGCTACATTCTTTTTAGTCATTAAGTGGCATTAACATCAGCAGTGGTGCTGTGCGTCAGGAGCTTCCTGACCTGTGTCTCCATAGCTGAGCAGCTTACATCATCGAGCCTGATGCCAAGCCTTTAATGGAGTAGTGAAAACACGCTGCCTGCCACTGGACTCTGGAGCAGCGGGACTGTGTCCTGTGGAGGGATGAATCACGCTGCTCTCCCTGGCAGCCGGGGAGACATATTTGGGTGTGGCTACTACCAGGAGGATGCTACTCTTGTAGCTACATCGTGCCAGCTGTAGTGTTTAGCGAAGGTTAGGTGTTTGTTTTTTCCTGGACTGATGTGAATTCCAAATCCATTGACAAAAAAATGTCGAGTTTTAGCTAACTAAATAAATATTTTGTAGAAGTTAGGTGGTCTATGAATCAACAAAAGTTCGGGCAAGCTACGTGCTAGGTGCTAAAGCTAATTTTCCTCTTTTGTTTTTAGCTCAACTTTCAACTTCTTTTAGCTAAATTTAAGCAACTAACTGCTACTCAGGTAACATTTCTCTTTAGAATAATAAGAATAAAAGCCATTTCTTTGGGCTTCTGTTTTCACTACCATTCAAGTTATATGTAATCTCAACACATCTGTGAAGTTTCTGACCTTGAATTAAACATTACAGCGAAGCAGACATACACATAGACATTCAATGAGAGTGTGCAGCGCCATGAATGCAGCAAAAGTTATCTTTTTCCCAGGGCTGTAACCATGGAAACAGTGCTTGTGTTGTAGTCACCAGATAAAATAAAACACTTTCTAGACAGTCCAGGTTATCATTACAGTGTGTTCAAGGTGCTGATTTTGAACTACAGTATGTCTGCATGAATAAACACAGACGCCTTAGTTTTAGTGTGTTATATTTTTGATTCCACTTGACTACACTTCACACCTTAATGTGCTTAGGGCTACAAAATATGTATGTTCTACATTACTGGTTGACTAACAGTTGAGTTGGCCGCTCCTTGTCTGTTCTATTTTTAATGTTCTCTGTCCTTACTTGCAATGTTTTTCGCTCCTGAGGATGAAAAAGTAAAAATATAACTCACTATCTTGGTTTTTTTTTTTTTTTTTACTCACTGCAACACCTCAGTTTTTCCACTCTGTGAATATTTGCAGAGCGGACTAGATAAGTAGCAGACTCACACATCATACCACCTCATGCATGAACCAGGCCATGGTCCTTCAAATCTGCCTCAATCACTGTAATCCACACAGACGGTGATTATTACCATTGAGGACTTTTTTCCTGTCTTTGCCGCAGTGTGTGTGTGTGTGTGTGTGTGTGTGTGTGTGTGTGTGTCATCCAGCCCACACAGTTCCAGATAAAGATACTCATCATTTTCACTCTATCTTAATCTCAGCAGGAGAGTCTGTTACTCTGCCGGCTTTTGTCTCTCTGTCTCACTGGTTTATGTCTGACACCACCACCACCACCACCACCACCACCAGGCGTGGATGATGAATGTGTCCTCACTGCGGTTGCGGTTCACTTATTTCTGCTCTCATCAGCTCCTGCTGTAATAGAAACAAGCATTCAGACATCTAAGGACCAACACTTTAAGTAATGACATCCTGTTTACACTTGGTAAACATGCCTACACCGACTACAAAAACCCAACAGTGTTGGACGCTGACCAAGAATTTCTGCTACTGAGTATTAGCTTTAGTTTTGTAACTAACAGCTGGATAAACATGTGTGAACACTGCCTCGTTGATTAGTGTGACAAAGTGACAAGGCGTTGCTAATGCCGTGATTGGTCATAATCATAATAAGAATTAAGTCAAGTCAATGAAATCAATAAAACATGACGTTGAGACGCCATACAAATAAATCAAAAGCCAGATCAGAAATAGAGACCTTATAAGCCAACATTTTGGTTTTAGTTTACTTTGACAGTAAATAAAGGAGACGTGTTACGTCCAAGAAGGTGTAAATATTGTTGGAAATTTATGGAGTGAAGTCTTGCAGAAAAGGTTGCTGGAACTGAAAAGAGAGAGATGGAAAAAAAAACATTATCCAGACCGACTGGGAAATAAAAACACTGTAGACTTAGCATTTTTGTCACCAAGAGGACGAAGAAGAAGAAGAGAATCTCACCTTAACAGTCATACACACACACGCACGACAACATTTCTCTTCTGCTTTTAACCCGACCCAGGGGAGCAGTGGACAGCAAGCACCTGGGGGCGAGTGGTTTGGGGCACAGGCTCAACACACCACAGCCGGGCACCATTCAAAGCTGCCATCCTCAGATAACAAGCCTGGTCATCAAATCAACAAATCAACAAATATATATTTAGAGAAAAGTAGGGGAACGTAACACTAAACCCTGTGGTGTCCCACAGATATAAATTAGAAATGGTTGCCAGTATAAATGCAGAACAGTGGTTCTTAACCTTGTTGGAGGTACTGAACACCAGCAGTTTCATAAGTGCATTCACTGAACCCTTCGTTATTGGAAAAAATAAAATGTGATTTTTTTCAAATTCAAGACATAGGTATATGTTGTACTTATATGTTTTAAATTCCCTGTAGCACAGAGAGGCCAAGCAACGCAGTGTGATCACCTGCATCCAGCGATGACCAAGCGAGGCCAGTCATCATGAATCATGACTCACCAAACCCCTGGGGTTCGATCGAACCCAGGTTAAGAACCACTGATCCAGAATGACTGGAAACTGCAGAGTGTGGTCCAATCACGATGCTTTGTTGTCCATGCTTCAACATGAAACACCTCAGCAGAACTATATAATCAATGCAGTCAGAACAGAACTGTGTCTGGAGAGCTTTATTCATATCATGAATGCTGTCATTTTCTTGTTATTTTAATGCTTTGAACCCAAACCATTGACCTGATTTAAATAGTTAACACATCTGAGAAAACACCAGGATGTCTAAGCTATGACTATTCCCGCTCATTACACAGTACTCCCTGCTTTTCTCATACTCTGTCTCTCTCTCTCCTCTTACTACAGCTGCCTCCTCCAACTCTTCCTTCCACTCTCCAGCAGCTTAGCTCTGCACCCCTCTGTGCATCCTTATCACCGTCAGTCACCAACTCCTCCACGGAGAATACGACTTTGACTCTAAATATGATAAACCTTTCCCCTTAAACCTGGTCCACAGAGAAGCTGCTGGGACTCCGAGGTGTAACCATGGAAACAGGAGATAATACCCCCCCCCCATTCTCTCGGCAAAATAGCCTGAAACTAATGAAGTAAGAAAAAGAAAATGGGACGGTTCTCTTTTCTGCATCTCTGTGTTGACCTCCTTAAAGTGGTGCAGCAGCTTCAGACAGGTGTGGAGGAGAATGAGCTCATGTTTCATTACTGAGCATCACAGTCAGTGACAGAAATGCCAGGGTCAAACAGTCTTTCTCAGTACTCTGTTACACACAGTA